TGGCACATCACATGATGGTCCTCAGGTACTATGCACAGGTTCGCTTTAGGTGGTTACCTTTTACAGAAAACAAAGGAGTCAATGCCACTAATCACATCACAGAAGAGGGATATTTGCAAATGAAAAGGGAAAAATAGTTGAACTGGTTATACTCCATACTGAGGAGTTTTAGCATGGATTTTAGGAAGTTACAGTAAGCACTTTCTACCTCAATTCAGGGTGAGGGAGTTTTAGCAAAAGCAAGACTCAAGGCAGTCTAGGCACATTGCAGGCCTGATTCCCCACAGGAAAACCTATCCGTGAGCATGGGTCCTATGTGTCTCAGAGTGGGAGCTGGGCCCATGCCACACAGAATGGTCTCCTACAAAATCCATCTTCAAATGATTAGATTTTACAACTTCACATGTAATGAACGAACCGTAAGGCAGTACAGTGTCCTTCCTTGTGCTGCTGTTGTGCCTTTCACTTGCACATGTGCGATGAACCTCACCCATGCTGCTATTAGTTTTGCTTCAAACAGTCCATTTATCTTGTCTGGAACTCCTATTCCTTTCTATAGATTCAGATTTTCATTTGGTTTCATTTTCCTTCTGTGGAAAAATCTTTCATTAACATTTTTTTTTGGTCTGAAGAGCTTTGAATTCATAGCATTGAAGTTTACATAATATTTGACACATAGAGAAGGATACACACCCACATAAATAAATATACTTGACATGTGTTATAATCATGTGTGATACATCTGCAGATTGAGGGGAAAAGGATAGAATATTTAGAATAGAATATTTAGGAAAGAGGATGAACTATTTTCCTATTGTGACATAATGATATACCTTCATGTTTTTGAATAAGAAAAAAAAAGAAATGGACTATTGAGCTGATAAAAATTTTACAGAATGTTATCAAATATCTCAGGGCATAAAAATACAGTCAAACCTTTGTTCTCAAATTATCTGCTTCTCAACCACGTTGTGCACAGAAAGAATGTCTCAATTGCCTACCAAAACACCAGGTCTCATTCTCCACCCAGCACCCCTTTCATGCTAACACCAGTGTGATCAGTCATGGTCTCTCAGGCAACAAACAAAGGAAGTTCGGTTTTCAAACAAATTGCTTCTCCAACAGTTTCCCAGGATGAATGAAGTCTGAGAACTGAGGTTCCACTGTATTTTGTTTCCATTTCTTCCTGTGTGTTGTAGCTTCCCATATGACACTCTTTCTTCAGGTCTTGCTTCCCTCCTTAGTCAACTGATTTTAGTCACGTCCAGAGTAGACTATGTAGCATGCAGAAAAATTAAATGAAAACACTTAGAGTTGAAAGGTCTTTAAAGGTTACGTAGTTCATTTTGCCTTATTGTGGAAAATCCCATGCTTCTTTATCTTTTCTCTGAGGTCCATCTACTACCAACATGCACACGTCTTAGAACACCAGTCTGTGCACGACTACTATACTCACTCACACACACACAACCTTGTGTTTTAGAGCAAAATGAAGTCATAAGTAAACCAATTATTTAATTGTAAAATGAGGTTTAATTACTCATTTTTTTACTATATAGTATTGAAATATATGTTTGTTGAAGCTTTTAGAACCCTGTCTTTAGAATAGAATAAGTTCAAAGTACGATAATAATTCTTTTTTAAGTGATTTTTTATTTAGATGGAATTTTCAATTTTTGAATGTTTAGTTTTCTTTAGGAAAACTGCTGATTATAGGAACATTCTTTGGCAGCAGTGTGTGTATGGGTGTCTGTTACTGTCCCATGGCAGAAAAATGTAAGAATAATAGTGATTTTTTTCATTAAATTTACTGAGGTGACATTGGACAATATAGGTGTTAAGTGTACAATTGTGTGACACATCAGCTGTACATTGCATTGTGTACCCATCATTCAAAGTAAAGTTTTCCTTCACCATGTATTTGACCTCCTTTGCCCTTGACCATTTCTTTCCCTCCTTCCCTTTCCTGACCACCATACTGTTGTCTGTGTGTTTGAGTTTTTTTTCCTGTTTGTTTCTTTGTTGCTTTCAGTTTTACATTTCACGTGTGAGTGAAATCATATGGTTCTTGACTATTTTTGTCTGACTTATTTGACTTAGCATGATAGTCTCACCATCTTATCCATATTGTTACAAATGGCTATATTTCATCTTTCTTGTTGCTGAATAGCATTCTATTGTACATATGTGTTGGGGACCACTCTGTGTGGTTTTGGAGATTGTAGCCCTGTGAGAGCAAGCTCTGAAAGGGGCTGGTAAGTCTCCCTGGAAAACCAGGTTGTAATGCAGGTGGCAGGTGTGACTGGATTCTAAAACCCAGGGTTCCATGGGAATGAGGACTAAAGTGTACATTTTGTCCTTTGAAGCTGGCTCTTTCCAGCTGTAAGCCCTGTCAGGGTAATCCAGATGTTTGAGTTCAAGGCCTAAGGAGTGAAACTCCCCACTTCGTGGTATGTGTCTTTACAGCCATCTGGTGCCTGTGTGTCTCATAGAGCCCAACCTGAAACAATTTCTGTGTTTCTTCAATTGTTATCTATAGATAGTGTTAGTTTTTTATGACTACAGCCTGCTGGACATTGACTGATAAGCTATGCCCGAGCACTGTATCTTCCTGCACTTCTCAACCCTAATAAAAGCCGTGCAGGAGAAGGGCTCTGGGCATTCTCCCCTAGAGGGAACTGCCCCCCTTTTCCCACCAGAGCAGCAGCTGACTCTTTATTTCCATCTCCAGCGGCCGTGGGGAACCTTGCTGGCCGAAGTTCCTCTCACACACCTCACACATGTACCACATCTTCACCCATCATGTACTGAAGGACTCTTCAGCTGTTTCCGTGTCTTGGCCACTGTGAACAGTGCTGCAGTGAACGCAGTGGTACACATGTCTTTGTTTTCCTCAGTGGCTGTCCTCGTTCACATTCCCACCGGTACTGAATGAGGGTTTCTTTTTCTCCGCATCCTGTCCTTGTATTGTTGACAATAGCCATTGTAACAGGTGTTAGATGGTATCTCCTTGTAGTTTGTCATTGCATTATCATAATACCTAGTGAAGTTGACCCTCTGTTCATATATCTGTTGCCATTTGTATGTTTTCTTGGGATAAGTGTTTGTTCAGGTCCTCTGCCCATTATTAAATTGGATTGTTTGTCAATGGTAGCTGAGGTTGTGGGAAGAGTAGAATGTCTTTTTACCTACATGGTAAAGTGCAGAACCAGGAAACAAAAATACCAGGGTCCTAACAAGGTTCCACTGGTAATACTCTGTGTGGCTCTGAATAAGTCATTTTGACTCTATGACCTTGACTTCCAACACTTATAAAATAAAGAGTTTGGATGAGATCATCTCTTTAAAAAAATTTATTGGGGTGACACTGGTTCCCCAAATCTATGAAGGTTAAAAGTGTGCGACTCAATGAACATCACATGCACACCGCCCGTGGGCCTGCTGCCCAAGTACGCTCTTTCCCCATTTTCACACTTATTCCTGGTGTCCACCTTCTCTTACCCACCGGTCCCCCTCCCTGGGGCCATGACAGCATTGCCGTCTGCCTTTAAGGGTTATGTCTATACCTTTTTTGCTTAGTTCCTTCACCTTCTTTCACCAAGGCTCCCAGCCCCCTCCCCTCTGACAGCTGTCAGTCTGTTTCCATCCCTATTTCTATTTTGTTTATTAGGTTCCACATGTCACACTCCTGGGAATATGTTCTAAGAAACTGAAACACTAATTCGAAAGAATATATGCACTCCTCTGTTTACTGCAGCATTATTTACAATAGCCAAGATCTGGAAACAGCCCAAACGTCCATCAGTATTTGAGTGGATGAAAAAGCTGTGGTCTGTTCACACAGTGGAATACTATGTGGCCATAAAAAGAAGGAAATCTTATCTTTTGTGACAGCAGGGACGGACCTGGAGAACATTATGCTCAGTGAAATAAGCTGGTCAGAGAAAGATAAGTACCATATGATCTCACTTTATATGGATTAGATTGTCTTTAGAGGACTCTAAAATTATGTACCACCATAAAAACTCTTACTGAGAACAAGTTGATAATGGCCTGGGGAAAAGTGTCCAGATGTCAAATAGTTTCTGATTTTGATGGAGAAATGACTACCTTTTACAGTACTATTATTTTTCTAATTAAGAAATTATTGAGATATGGTTGACATATAACACAGACTGAGTTTAAGCTGTACAACAGGTTGGTTGATACACTTATATATTGCAATATGATTGTCGTGGAAGTGTTGACTATTACCTCTATCATCCCAAGTAATTATAATTTTCTTTTTGTGGTGAGAACAATAGCTAACTACTTTTGATTTTCAATCCTGCCCTTGACATTGGACTCGGAATCAAGGTGAAGTTCTCCGAACTGGCCAGCAGATGGCGGCCTCGGACCACTGACAGACTGGGTTTCCCAATCCTGTAAGGACCAGGCTGTTTCACGGGTTCCCCAACGCTTCTCCTGTCTGGCAACTGTCCGTCTCTTCTCTGTATCTATGATTCTGTTTCTGTCTTGTGTGTTCATTAATTTTTTTTCTTCAGATTGCACATAGGAGTAAAATCTCATGGTATTTGCCTTTCTCTGACCATAACACTGTGAGTCCATCCATGCTGTCAGAAAGGTAAGACCTCCTTCTTTTCTATGGTGGAGTGGAATTCCACTGGGTAAAATGCACCACAGCTTTTTTGTCCATTCATCCACTGATGGGCTCTGGGGCTGCTTTCAGATCTTGGCAAAAACAAACAAACAAACAAACAAACAAACAAACACACACCTCATGGACACATGCAAGGTGACTAGCAGAGGGCACGGGGTGCAGGCAGATAGCAGCAGGTAAAGGGGTGAACGGTGTCAGAAGATGTGACTTGGGGTGGCGAGCACACAGTGCAATATGCAGATGCTGTGTTACAGAATCGTGCAGTTCAAACGTATATAATTTTAGTAACCAGTGTGAGCCCCCCAGATTCAATCTGAATATCATTTAAAAGACCCTGGGCCTGCACGGGCAGGCCGACGGTGGTCGAAAGCGCGACCAGCATTACATGAGGGGCTTGCAGGGCTCGGGTTTCTGCTGGCGTGGTCGCTCTGGGACGGCCCTCTGGAGGAACGCTGGGCATTTTCACACGTGGGCGACATGGTAGCGCTGTCTTCCTCTGCCGTGGAGACTGGGCACAAGAAGTTCTCGAGCAAGAGAGGAGAAAGTCTTGAGCGAAGGACGGCCGCCAGGGCCACCAGACCCAGCGTGCGCTCTCAGAATGCCAGGCGGGGAAGCTCTCGGCCCTGCAGTGCAGACTGGCCCCGGCTCGAGGCTGCGTGGGGAGGGACCTTGGCTCCCCTGTGCTGGAGCTCGTGAGGTAGGTTTGGCACAGGTCCTGTGAGGTTACATGAGGCCAGGTTTTAGTTCCAGCGGAAGGAGAGTCTTTGCCAGCTGCAGCTACCATTACTGCTCCTTGACATAAACATCGATAACATCCACACGTTTTATGATGTGAGAAGAAAAGAGAAGCCTCTTTTTTTAAATTGAGTTCTACGGCTAGAAGCTGACTTGGTTCTACCTTTTTTCACTCCCTTTTCTTTCCGTTTTCCCATAGTTTCTGTTTTGCTTTTCCTCAAAATGCTGAGCAGACTTGCTATTGATAGTGAAAGATTTTTCTCAGGCTCCTAGGAGGAAAAAATGCCAATCAGCCACAGAGGTAGGCAAAATATAGAGCTTTTATTGAGGTAGGTGCACCCAGATGAGATTCTCTGCTCCACAGAGTAGATCAGAGAAGTTCCTCCCTGAGTAAGAAAATAGCGGGGGGGGGGGGGGGGGGGGGGGGGGGGGGCGGGTATTTCCATTGGCTCCCCATGGGAGCTGGGGATTGGTCTCTGAACAAAGCGGCCATACAGCATTGGTGGTTTCTTTCTGGACTCAGGTTGCTGGTCGGATGTCCCTTTTGGCAAAGCGTGACCTTCCGGCTCTTTGATTGGACATCAGCCGGTTTTTTTTTTTTTCCAGGCGCCATTTTGATTGTCTGCCATCTTGATTGTAGTCCAGTGGGGGTTTCTCTTACCCCGCCCACCCTAACAGATAGATGTAAAAAACCAACTTAATTATGTTCTCCCCCATTTAATCCTTGGTTAAACACAGAATATTATATTTCTCATATTTCACTCATTAAAAAATCTTGTTCTTTTTTTGCCATATATCAAGTTTTAAGAGTCTTTTGTGCTTAACTTGCTAAATTCTGAAGCTTATCTTGGAAATTTTGCTCTTCTAATGGTCACTGGCAAGAAGAATCTCAGAAAAAGGGAAGAGAGGAGAGGTTTTCTCTGTCTCCATGGCTGCAGTGACAGACACCACTATGAACTGTTAAAGCCCCTTTTGAGAAAATGGTAAGTAAAAACATGTACAAACACAGCATCCTGAGAAAAAAGTAGTGTTGTGTTTGTTTTGATGTTTATAAAATTGCTCTTGTGAAAATTACCTTAATAATCCAAACCTTTAGGACATCCACCTGGACTGGATACATTGTGCTAGTTCATCTGAAATATAATTTATTTTTATTTTTATTTTTTAAATTGAATTAATTGGGGTGACATGGATTCCCAAAGCTATACAGGTTTATAGTGCACAACTCAACAAAACACCATCTGCGCGCAGCTCTGTGCACCTATCCCCCCAGGCACAGGCTCTTTCCACCCTCATTTCCCCCTTTTGCATACATCCACCTGCCCCCAGCCTCCTTTCCCTCAGGCTGTCACTACTAATGCGTAGGTGTATGTATGTGTATACATATAATGCTTTTTGTTTAATCCCTTCGCCTTCCTTCATCCAGTCCCCTAACCCTCTTCCCCTCTGACAGCTGTCAGTCTGTTCCATGTGTCCATGTTTCTGTTTCTATTTTGTTTATCAGTTAATTTTGTTCATTAGATACCACATATAACAGACCATATAATATTTTTTTCTCTGGCTTATTTCACTTAGTATAATACTCCTCCAGGTCCATCCATAATGTCACAAAAGATAAAATTTTCTTTTTCTTATTTTGAATACAATTTTTACATAATAGTATTACACTGTGTAAGTGAACCACAGTTTTTTTATCCACTCATCTACTGATGGGCACGTGGGCTCTTTCCAGAGCTTGGCTATTGTAAATAATGCTGCAGTGAACTCAGAAGTTGTATTTTCTTTCAAATTAGTGTTTTGAGTTTCTTAGGGTGTATTCCCAGAAGTGGACTTGCTGGGTCATAATGCAGTTTCAATTTTAATTTCTTGAGAAAACTCCATATGGTTTTCCACAGCTGCACCAGGGTGCATTCCCACCAACAATAAACAAATTTTTTCTTTTTTCCACATCCTCTCTGGTACTTGCTGTTTGTTGACTTAATCACTGACAGCCATTCTGACAAGTGTTGGTGGTATCTTATTGTGGTTTTCATTTGCATTTTTCTGATAATTAGTGATGTTGAGCATTTTTTTCATGTGTCTATTGGCCATCTCATGTGTCCATTGTCTATATCCTCCTTGGAGAAGAGTCTGTTCAAGTCTTCTGCCCATTTTTTAATGGTATTGTTTTTTTTCCTGGTGTTGAGTTGTATGGGTTCTTTATATATTTTGGATATTAACTCTTCATCAAATAGATCCTTGATGAATATGTTCTCCCATTAGGTGGGCTTTTTGTTTATTGATGTTTTTCTTTATTGTGCAAAACCTTTTTACTTTGATGTAGTCCCATTTTTTTTGTTTCCTTGCCCAAGGAGATACAACAGAAAACAAATATTGCTAAGAGAAATGTCAGAGATTTTATCGTCTATGATTTATTCTAGAAGTTTTATAGTTTTGAATTTTAAATTTAAATCTAATTCATTGTGATTTTATTCTTGTGTATGGTATAAGAAGATGGCATAGTTTTATTTTTTGCATATATCTGCCCAATTTTACCAACACCATTTATTGAATGGACTACCTTCCCCCATTGTATGCCCTTGCCTCCTTTGTTAAATATTAACTAACCATGTAGGTGTAAGTTTATTTCAGGGCTCTTTTTTTAAAGATCTTATTTTATTTATTTATTTATTTATTTATTTATTTATAGAGGGTAAGGGAGGGAGGAAGAGAAAGAGATAAATATAAATGTGTGGTTGCCTCTCATGTACCCCCTACTAGGGACCCGGTTTGCAACCCAGGCACGTGCCCTGACTGGGATCGAACTTTGGTTCACAGCCCATATACAAGCCAGGTCAAGGCTCTTAATTCTGTTCCTTTGATCTGTATGTCTCTTTTCATGCCAGTACCATGTTGTTTTGAGTGCCATAGTTTGTAGTATAGCTTGATATCTGGTACTGTGATACCTCAAAATTTGTTCTTTTAAAAAAAATGCTCAAGATTAGTGTAGCTATTTGAGGACTTTTGTGGTTCCATGTAAATTTTTGGATTATTTTTTTCACCTCTTAGAACAGTGTCATTGGTATTTTGATAGGAATTGGGTTGAAATATTGCTTTGGGTAGTATGGTAATTTTAATGTTAATTCTTTCTATACATGGTGATGTATATACCTTTATTTATTTGTTACCACTTCAATTTCTTTTTTTAGGGTATTATAATTTTCTAAGTACAGGTCCTTTCTCTTCTTACTTGAATTTATTCCTATTTATTTATTTGAAGCAATTGTAAATAAATATATTTTCTAGAGTTCCTCTTTCTGAAGTGAATTATTACTGTATAAGAATCCAACTGGTTTTTAAATATTTTGTATCCTGCTACTTTAATGAATTTATTTATTAGTTCTAGTAGTTTTTTTTGGTGGAATCTTTAGGCTCCTCTCTCTCTATAGTATGATGTAATCTGCAAATAATGACAGTTTTACTTCTTTTTTAATTTGGTTGCCTTTTTTTATTCTTGTCTGACTGGTGTGGTTAAGACTTTCAGCTGTGTTGAAGAAGAATGGTGAAAGTTGACAAGCCTGTCTTCTTTCTACTTTTAAGGGAAAAACTTAGTTTTTCCTCATTGAATATGGTGCTACCTGTGATTGTGTCATAAATGGCTTTATTATGTTTAGGTATATTCCCTCTATTCCCACTTTACTGAGAGTTTTTTTTTAATATTATAAATGAGTCCTGGATTTTGTCGAATGCTTTTCTGCTTCTATTGATATGATCATATGATTTTTTATTCTTCATTTTGTTCATGTGGTGTATTATATTAATTAGTTTTGGAATATTGTACGAACCTTGCATCTTAAGATTAAATTCCACTTGATCATGGTGTTTTACCTTTTTATGTATTGCTAAATTTGTTTTGCTAATATTTTGTGGAGGATTTTTCATCTACCTTTATCAAGGATATTGGCCTGTAATTTTCTTTCTTTGTAGTGTTTTTATCTGGTTTTGGAATTAGGAGAGTGCTGGTCTTGTAAAATGAGCTTGGTGTCTTCCCTCCTCTTAAAGGTTTTGGAAATGTTTGAAAGGAGAGGTGTTAGTTCTTCTTTGAATGTTGGGTAAAATTTACCTGTGTAGCCATTGAGCCAAAGACTTTTGTTAGAAGTTTTTTGATTACTGCTTTGATTTTGTTAGTTGTCATCAGTCTGTTCATATTTTATGTTTCTTCTTAATAAGTTTTGAAAGATTGTTTCTAGGAATTAATTCATTTCCTTCCAGTCTGGCCAATTCATTGTCATATAGTTATTCATCATATTATAAATAATCCTTTGTATTTCTGTGGTGTCAGTTGTTAACTTCTTTCACTTCTAATTTCATTTGTGTTCTTGCTCTTTTTTCTTGATGAGTTTGGTTAAAGGTTTATCAATGTTGTTTAATTTTTGAAAAAAACCAGCTTTTGGGTTTATTATTTTTTATTTTTATAGATAGCTTTATTTTCACTCTAATCTTTATTATTTCTTTCCTCCCACTCACTTTTCACTTTTTTCTTTTCTTTATTCTTTTTTCTTTTTTTAAAGGGTCCTCAGGAAAAAACAATCCATCCCACAACCTGATCTCAAAATGCAAGCTGCCGCTACTTCCAGCCAAGATGGAGGCATAGGTAGGCCTCCTTGCACAGCCAAAAGAAGGACAACAAACTTAAAAACAAATAACCAGAACTGAGAGAAAATCAAACTGTATTGGAAGTCTGACAACTAAGGAGTTAAAGAAG